AGAGAGAGAGAGAGAGAGAGAGAGAGAGTATATTCATGTTTTATTTTTTCTATGTTGCTGAATAAATGTATTTGTTGTTGATGTTATTCTTCCCCTCCTCCTCTTCTTCTTCCTCCTACTTCCTCCTCTTCCTCGTCCTCCTACTTCCTCGTCCTCTTCCTCGTCCTCCTACTTCCAATCATTATCATTACATGCCTGCTGATGATATCAACAGAAACTTTCTCTGAAGACACCACGGCCGGTGGGTCCGAGCAGGATGCGGCAGCGGCAGACTCTACAAAGACACAGGCACGACACACCCCTGTGTCCCCCAATCGGGCTCGTTTCGAAGCTGCAGAGAAAGAAAATGCTCGTCTGTTTGTGCAGTGTCTGCGGCAGATAGCGCCCGACCTGGTGAAGTCCCTCAGTGTCTGGGAGGTGGATGACCTCATTCAGGACCTGTCCTCTAGATTCTGTGCCAGTAAGTGGATTATGACTAAAGTTTAGTACTCTGGTAGATTCAGTTTTTAACTGTTTTGATTTTTGAAAATCAATAATAGAATTTTCATTGGTTTCGTGCCAACATTTCCTTTTTGAAATTGTATTTTATTTTTCTTTATTGCTGTTAGCGATTGGTTGGCCATTTGGTGGTGTCTGCTCTTTGAATTTTTTTTTTTCAGTGTTCCTGTTATCAGTACTTCTTACTGGCAAAGTGAAATGGTGATAGCACTCACTCACATGAAACTATACCCTTTTAGTGTTTGTTAACACATTTGTTGGAAGGCTGGCAAACATGACTTTAAAGAGTCCTTCATTCGGTAGTATGCATCTGCATCAGTGGGGTGATGTTTTGGCTCTTTGCTGTTCCGAACAAAATACACAAATTTGTTTTCTGTCCGAGAAGTCTGCTTTATTTAGTATCTCCATCTTTCTAATGGGATGCTGTATCCCACTCAGCCCAGGTTGGCCCTGAGAGGCATGGTCAAAGAGTAATCTTCCTCCTAACTGATCTAAATAGTGTCGATGGTGGTGTAAAATGTTTACAGGCAATTAGGTGGTATGGTCCACCAACCAGTTTTGAATCTTGCTATGTGGGATGGTTTACAGAAGCTTCACGTGTATTGTAAATTTATTTTTTAAAGATAAATTATTGTGTCTTTTATTTCCCCTTTTTTTCTCTTTCATGAGTTGATACCATCTCAAGGTTGGTGTGTAATACGGGATGCCCACTACGGATGGGATCGCATGACTCGGTTGCCGTAAAAACAAACAGTGGGCACCCCGTATAAGAATCGGCCTTCCTTCCACCCTCCCTCTCTTCCTTCATTTGCCCCTCTCCACACATCCCTCCCATTCTTTATTCCTTCCTACCCACCCTCTTTCCCTCCCTTCATACCTCCTTCCCTCCCTTCTTTTTTTCTTCCTTCCCTCACTTCCCGTTTTAAAAATATACCCCAAAAATGGCTAGGTTCACCCTGTCCTTCCCTCTTCAAACAAGAACTGACATGGAAGTGACAATGTGAATCAACACTTTTATCTTCATGCTGCAGGTATTCCTCATCAGACCACAGTCAAGTCAACAGCGGAGGGCATGGGTGGGGCTGTGGTGCTCAATGCAGATGGCGTTTATGTAGCGGCCATTGCTGCACTGAAGCTGAGTCTCCGACTGATCAACTGTGGTTACTATGACAACAAGAGAGCTGTGCTGGTTCCTATCACTGAGGTGAGTCGAGGTTGATGAAAATATTTGGGATGTTGTGTGGCTTGATGGTCCAAAAGGCTAGAGGAGCAGTTGCTGTTTCAGATTAAAAAAAAAAAAATTGCAGTTCTTTTTGGAAATAATAAAATAAAATTGTTCATTTTAATTGTTTCATTTTCTTCCACTGTCTCTTAGTTTTGGTCTCCATCTGTCTTGATCTCTGTGTTTTCATTGTGAGGCAGGGGAAAATCATACTTAACTTTATTGATACTTTTGTTTCTCCTTTCACAAAGCTACTGCAGGGTGGTTGAGGGGGAGTTCATGGTAGGTCCTGCTTCTTTTCTCTCCTTGCTGTTTTTGTCTGTTTAGTATCCTGCTCTGTCTCAGTGTGTAATGGCCTGGTTGTAATGATTGTTTATGTATTATGCCCTTCTCGACACTCTGGTCCAGTCTGTCGGTCTGTTGTTTCTTTTCTCCCCCAACATTCCTCCAGCCAATCCAACGGTCTCCTTTTCCAACCTTTTTTCGAACCCATGTTCCAGTGAGCAAGTGTGCTAAGTGCAATACCATGCTTGTACATTATTTGTTCTACTTTAAGTCTGTGTGCAACAATAGTCTCCTTTTCTTGATGATTTTTTTGTTTTGTTTTACCATACATCTCTATTATATCTGGTACGGGCAGGGGTATTTTTTAGCATCTGGTTGTTCGAGGAGTTACCAAAACTCTTTACCCATCTGGCTCAACAGTAAAGGATGAAGTGTGTAGGGGGGGGGG